TAAGCACTTGGATGGTCAAAGGACAAGTGATCGCTGGAAACAGTGCAGTGCAGGCAAAAATAGTGCAGGCAGTCGCATCGCTTTCCAGTTGTGCCCAATTGACTTTGTACTGTTGTGAGGAAACCACAAGGGTATCAGGTCCTTTGTTTGGTACTCTATCTCCTGAAACTATAGTAGTTCACATTTAGCTGGAGTCCGTTGATTTGTAATGTAGACCAAGTGTGTCAGGTTCCTTATCTGGTTCTTGAGAGTAAGTTTGTTGAATCATCAAAACATAAGACTAAGACATTGAAAATCCATCAATTCCGATATGATTGGGTTTTCTAATTGCTTGATATATACCTCTATATGCTTCATACGACGTTGTTAGCTTTCCTCTAACTCTTACTTGTTACTTGGCCCTTATTTGCCTTAATTGAAGTGATTGTCCTCCTTATTGTTTTGTTATTTCTTAATTGTAAATTCCTCTATGACTACGTGCATATATGCTATGTGTACAAATTGTTGTGGTTGCCAGTGTAGTTATCACGTACCTTATATGTCTTGTTATTTTTCCAAAGGTTATTGTGCTTATTGGTTTTTCTGTGATTCTCTTGTTGTCGTATACTCATACTCTGGGTGGTAGAAATCTTTGTGATTGGATTGTTAAATTGTTGTTGTTATTGATTTTAAACTATGTCTGGTTGTTGATATGTTGCAGAGGAATAAGGGAGAATCGATGTTGCCTGGTGGGATCGGGTTGCACGCCGCAACAAGGAGTAATAAGGATAGACAGGTGGGATCGGGTTGCACGCAGCAACAGGAGGAATGATGGTGATATATATTGAGAAGTAATAAAGGTGGACAGGTGGGATTGGGTTGCACGCCAGAACAAGGAGTAATAAGGGTGAATGATCATGTTGTTACTGATATGGTGATATATATACTATTTACTTTTATTGTAATTATTACGGAGGAATAGGGGAGGATTGATGGGATCAGGATGCGCGCCGCATCAATATGCTTATGTATTCCTCTTTGACTGTACAAGTTATTCTGTGGTTTTACATTTCATTTAGGATTCGGTTATAGCTGAATACTGAGAAGACCCTGGTTCATTAATTTAAGACTTGACAATTTGTATTTCGGGTTTCACTGCGTTGTGAGGATCGGGTTATTGGCATTGAGTTGTTGACTTGCCGTTGTTCCTTGAATTCTTCCCTTGAAACTATTATTCTAGTGAATTAATTTTTAAAGTAAATTTACTACGTTGAATCATTTCCTCTTATCCTGTTAAGTTATTAGTAATATCATGATTTAAAATAAAGGAAATAGTACTATGCTGCTATATATGACTTTTAAATTTAAACTCGCCATGTATATATACACCTTCCAATAATTCAAATTTCTATAAATGTTATGTTTTATTTCCATTAGTTTCTCAATTAAATTTTCTTAACCCGGAGATACTGAATCTTACTTAAAAAGGAATTTCTACTAAGTTTTAATTTATTTAATCCTATATTAAAGGTAATAATTCATTTGATGTTGGATTTTATTTGAAAAGGGTATTTTCTTTTTTAAAATAATTTCTAAAAATAACTTCATCTTTTCTTGTTGATTTCCAAATTAGTTTAGAAGTTGTAATCTACTTGATGTGATATAAATGAGACATTTTGAACATCTTAATTGAGTAGCATGAGGATGACGTTGTGCAAAGTGAGATAGAAATATGTGGGCACACGATGTCGTGTGTGCTAAAGGCTTGGAAATTGAGGTTATGATATGAGACATCGAGTTTTCAGATGGTTGGAATTGTGCATCAGAATGGATGTGATTGATTGAGTTAACATCGCCTTCCTTATTTGAGTACATTTTAATTGTATGTGTCCCAGCTGTGTTGGTGTTAATTTACTTGGCTATCTTACATTACCATTCGTGTTCCCTTTTATTGTCTCTGCTATTTGTAGTTTGATTTCTCCGTGTTATCGGTATTATTTTGTTGCATTTACCATTGTCAGTTTATTACTATATCATATTTAATTTATTAGACCAGTAGGTGTCTTGATTGTCCCTCGTCACTACCCCACCGAGGTTAGTCTTGATACTTACTAGGCACCACTGTGGTATGCTCATTCTACACTTCTGTATATTTTTTGTACAGGTATTTGATCGGTAGTAGCTGTGCGGATCGTCGCGGTGGAGACTCAAGGTAAACCTGTTGCTGTGTTCGCAGGCCTCGGAGTCACCTTCGTTTGTACTTATTTCCATTTGTTCCTTTTGTTCTGGAATAGTGACGTATTTATTTTGTATAACTACTCCTAGAAAGGATTATGACTTGTACTACCGGTTTTGGGAATTGTAATTTGTTCAAAGTTATCTAATTTGAAGTTAGAGAATATCAATATTATTTTTGTAAATGCTAGGTTTACCTAGTTTAGAGACTAAGTGCCATCACGACACCTTCGGAGGGATTTTGGGTCGTGACACTGAAATAAACCCATAATTAAAATATGTAGTACCAAAAATTTCCTCCAAAAAATAGACTATTTTGACTTTTTATATTCTTCCGGTGAGTTCTTTGAGTTAAAGGGGTTATCGTTATCATTCAAAAGATGAACGTAGTATTGTTTCCCAACCCTTAAGGGTCGTTTGGTTGAATACAAGTTATATTGCGATTAGTTATATCAGGGTTAGTTATAAAGAAATTAGTTATCTTGATATTATTTCATATTTGATTGTTTAGTATGTTGTATAAATTTTAAGATTGTCAATTTTACTGCTTTATCTTGTGATAACTTATTACATGATTAATAACCAAACAAAGGAGAAGAAGACACTAAATTTTTATCCTAAGATTATTTTTACTTATCCATCATACCATGACGTCTCTTGGAGGTCAAGAGGGTAAAGTGTATTTAACATTTTTTGTAAAACTAACAATTTTTTCCTTGTTGTTGATATTTACTCGTTCCTATACTTCCTCTCGGGGCGAGGGTCTTTCGGCTTCTCGACCTCCCCTGGGTTCTATAGTTCTGCATATACATTACTCTCCTCAGACCTCACTTGTGGGATTCCGTTGGATTGTTGTTATAAACCTAACAATTTTGCAAATATTAAAACTAATGTATTTTGCCATTTTACTTAAAATTAAATCCTAAAATAAATGTAGCATCATGCGGTGATAAGCTTGACGTCACGATTGACAGATTACAAAAGTGGAAAAAAGCTACAGTAAACGTCGTTATTAATAATTGGATTGTAATTGACAAAGACTAAAGTAAGTCGACACGTCACTGTTCTGCTAAAAGACACTCATTTTAGTCATAGGTCAACAACGCCCAACACTTCATATTTAAGACTTAAATTCAAGATTTTTAATTAAGGGTTAAGAAGTATTTATCACTTTACAACAACATTCCCTCTCATTTATTTTCCAAGTAAAAGTCTGTTTTATTTCAAATTTCATTAATAACACTAGTGCTTTCTATTTTACGTTATTAAATTTTATTACATATGAAGTTTGGGATATTAAATTTATTTATGTCATATATGAGGCAAAAGAAGCACCTAATGCTATTTATTTTCCTTAAAATAGAAATATGCAAATGTAAGTATCTAAAGTCTCTTTAAAAATGTGTCAGCAGCACTTCATGCCTATGTCACTTATATTTATAAATTGCATTTATTGGTATTAATAATATTTCTTGGTGCGACTTCAGAGAATATGCTCTATGACCAAGTCTAACAGTTCTAGACAATATACTCGAATTTCAAGTGAAAATAATAATATATAAAACAATTAAATATTAATCTAATAAAAGATTAAAGATACAGTAACACAAAGCAAAGACCAAAGTCAGCCGCAGAGACCTAACATATTAACATGTCAGAGTATTATTTCTTCTCAATTTGCAGTAACCTTTTGACTTGGGTAAGTAAGAATTTTCACCAATATTTCTTTCTTAATTATTAAGATTAATGTTTAATACCACCAAATGATATAGTGCAGCGGATGGGATTATTCTTCTCTTAACAAGAAATCTCAAGCTCGAGCCCTAAGTATGTAAAATCTTTGGTAGGGAGCGCTTCTCCCCAATGAGGCCCTATGTAGCGCGAATCCGGATATAATCGTGCTTCAATGCGAGTTTCGAACATCGGGTGGGAAACCAAAAAAAAGATTAAAATTTAATCATTAAACTATTCTAGAGCTGATAATTTAAAATGAAATTTACTAAGACTCCAGTCTATTTCTGAAAAAAGTATAATCTAGTGGTAATAGTTATTTGATAATATCATAAGATTATACTATGGGAAATTATTTTCAAGATCAGATCATCAGATGGGGCTAACGCGTTTTGTTGTCTGCATCTAAATTGAACTTTATTATGGATTACACCACAAGTTGGGCAGCTTTAGTGGGTCCTCTTGAACCTTTACATTACAATAAATAGGGTTTTGATTTTCAAGAATTTGAATTTTTGTAATTGTACATAGCTTTCTACTCCGTCAATTTTACTTTATATGATAATTTTCTAATCGGTTAAGAAAAATGACATTCTCATATTTAAAAGCTCTTATAAGTTTGAATTTATTCATTTTACCTATAAAATGTGCTCTTATAATCATAAAGACTAGTACATCATGCAACAACAACGACCCAGTATAATCCTACAAGTGGGGTCTGGGGAGGGTAATATGTACGCAGACCTTACCCCTACCCGAAGGATAGAGAGACAGGGGCATATACAAAAGCTTTTTTTCTCACCAAAAAGAAAATACTCCCTCCGTTTCAATTTATGTAAACTCATTTGACTGGACACGGAATTTAAGAAAAGAGAGAAGACCAAAAAGGAAATAGGTTCACATAAATTGAAATGGGAGTATATGTGAAGATGAACAAGCTACCCATCAGACCTGTCTATATAAGTGTCAAAAAACTTAATTTTAATTCCATGTGTAGTTAATTGTGTCATTTGAATTGGCTTAGATTGTGTCATTTTACATTTAAGATATCGACATTGAACCATGAAAATGGAAGGATGTGACATTATGATGGGAACATCATACATGAAAATAATTCCTTCATCTCCTTAAATCAAAAAGATTTCAAAAAAGAAAAAAAAGGAGATTAGCTTAAACTATGAACAAGATGTTTCCCATTTTACCCTTCCCTTACTTCTCCTAATCTAAACCCTTGGGTGAAATTACAAAAAAGGGCCTGGTACATCACACTACATTGCTTTCCATGAAAGACTCAAGGGTTGGAAACCCAGAAAAAGAGCCAAAATCAAAGCCACATGAACCACCGTCAACCACCACATCAGACGGCGGAGTAGGGGCGGCGACTGACCCGATTGCTGAAGTGGGGTCCACTATCTGCTGTTGTTGAGTGACGTGGTCCAATAAGAAAGCTGACGTGTCAAGAGTTGGCAAAAAACAGCTACCATGTTGTAGCCGGTTAACAACACGCTGAGGTTCAGGTTTCAGAACATGAGCGACCGCCAGCTGCCCGTTCCCGCCGAACTGAACACCAGTCACCTGCTGCACCATATCCCGGAAATTATCCACGTCAGCAGTTATATACGTCGTCGTATTGCGCCTTGAAGCACGTGACTTCCTCTTTGATATCTTCCCGCTTACCCCAACTTTACTCCGCCGGTTCGAACCGGTTGTCTCGTTTTCAGACCCGCCCGAAACGGTCCGTCCTGATCCGGTCGAAGTCTGAACCGGGGCCGTCTCCGGCGTTTGGGTGGACAGAGATTTTTGGAGCAATTTGGTTAACGTACTTTCAGTTTCTCTGGAAAATACGTCGGAAAACCAAGAATCAGCAAAAGCTGAACGAAAAGCCCATGGCTCCATAGTCATTAAATTATCAGATGCGGCCATTTTTCAAGATTTTCAGTACAGAAAATTTCCAAAATTAACTAAAACTAGTAGGGCTAAAGCTATAAAGATTCCAACTTTGAGTAATAAAACTTGTTCTAAAGCATTTTCTTTAGGGTAGATCGACTGGGTTAGGAGTTGCAGAGTGAAGTCAAAAAAAGCAGAAGATATGAACAAGTATGAAAGGAGGAGGTAGTAATGGTTGAAGAGAGGGTATATATAACGGGGAGCTTAGAGCAGGAAGGAAGAAACCGCGTTTTTTGGGGACACGTGTCAGCTTATGTGTACGGACAGTAATGACTCGAAAGAGTACAGACAAACTTGGGTTATCATTTTATTTTGACGGTCGAGGAGAAAAAAGGTCCATTTTTCTAATACTAGTAGTATGATTTAAAATTGAAAAACTGTCTTAACTTACTTTGTTACCGGGAAAAAGTTTTAATTTTTTCTAAATATTAATAGAGGTCCAACTTAAAAATAGTTTTAAACTTCAATCATAAGTTAAGGAGTAAATATAAACTTTTTTCTTTGAAAATTTTTGACACGTAGATCTTACACATTTCACGTTGGAGTTACATTAATAGTAAGGATAAAAAAAAAAGGAATTTGCTTATGAACTGGTTGGAGTCTAACATATAATAAAATTAAGCAATTTTGAATAATAAAAAGATAAATTTTGACATTTTTTCCTAAATAAATTTAGAGAATGAAAGTTTAGTCACTTAATTTTATTTCCTTTTGTTCTAGTACCTTTACTTAGGTCTTATTTGAGTCTTTAATTTAATTTACAAAAGAACTTCAATCCATTAACATACGTAAGATGTTGCAGCAGGGGAGGCAATCGTATAGTGGTGCTTTGATTTTGATTAATGGTAGGATTAAAGTCTTTTTGGGATGGATAAGTACTAACTTTTTCTCAATTAAATCTTTTTATTTTAATCTTAGTAGTGCTTGGATTAGTCAGTTTTATCAATTAAGTCAGTAATAATAAGTATCTTCCACTTAAAAGCCACATAAATTGGCTTTTCTATTAATGGCCATTGATGACTGCTTAAGAATTACTACAATTGTTGAAGGAAAAGGGGCAGCCAAAAAAGTCATAAAATGTCAAAAAAGAATAGGAAAGAAAAGCTTATATTAAAATGACATAAGACACAAGTTTTTTCATGGAGTGTCTAACATGTAATTAGATTTTTAGTATGTAGTGATTATTTTATTATCAGTTTATCGAGGACATGATCCTTGATTGGACAGTGTGAAGATCAAGAATTACGATAGGAGGGTAGTGGATAGTCAAGCATTCTTATTTTCCATACCAGGCCAGTAGTGCTAATATGCATTCTCTTATTTTCCTATTCTTAGTTTTTGGTACTACGTGTTATTTTTTTCTCTTCGGTCATCTTACTATTTGGTTTTCGTATTTCTTTTTCATTAATATTGTGATTATGCTTTTCTTGAGTCAGGAATCTATTGAAAACATCTCTATCTTGACAAGGATAGAAGTAAGGTCTGTCTACATACTACCATCTCTGGACCCACTATATAAGATTAGTTATTGTTGTAGTGACGTGACATTTTGACAAGTTAATGAACCTGATAGAGCAATTGATGTTCAATTTATTATATTCATCATATATTATTGTTCCATTTATAATTAATTCGATAAAATGTTTTATGTGCACACCTGTTAATGAGTTGTACTCTATAAATATAGATATGCATTTAAGTTAGACTATGACGTATTAAATATGTATATATTTTTTTTTGCCCAATGAAACACTTTCATATAAATTGAAAGGAATGACAAATTGACTTATTAAAATAAAAATAGCATGGAAATATGTTGTAGTGGTCACAATTGAGGGAACACACAAGAGAATTAGGTAAGGAAGTCAAATAATCAAATATATAAAGTACAGCCCTCAAGCTGTTGAAAATGACAACTAAAACCAATGAGCTAAAAAAGTAAAAAGGGCAAAAGATAAAAAAGCAATCCTACCATAGATTAGATAGATATAAATTGAATTACTATAATAGGGCCAAAGACACATCTCTAGAAGGTTAAAATTCAAATATATAAACATAAAAACTTTAAAAATTAAAGACTAACTTAGAGGGTCCCACTTATGACGCCATGCAGACGAGATCATTGCGTTTGGATTATGTCACTTAAAATATTTTGTAGCTCGGCATAATTGAGCGGTTTTTATACCGTTGCCGCCCAATAAATGCATTTTAATTTGGTCCGCTTTGTGTTTGTGTTGCCAAGTGGACAAAACAAAAATAAAAATGATTTTGAGATTATTAGTTTTTAAGACATTTGGTAAATGAAATATTAATTTCAACTAGTAATATATTCCTGTTAAATTTCAATTATAACATAAAACTAACTAATCAAATGCAATCGTACATTACTAGTGTATTATAAACTGCTGCTACTCGACTATACAAGGGCCCAAACCTAGGAAGCCAAAAGTACTTTTTTCCCTCAAAAAAGTAATTTTTTAAAAATTTAAGCTGTTTGACCAAGATAAAGAAGTACTTTTGGCCATCAGCAAAAGCAGTTTTTCTGCTTTTGGGAAGAAGCAGAAAATTCTAGCTTCTTCCAAGAAGCAGAAGCAAAAAATTAATTTATTTAAGACAAAATTATCCTCACCCTAAAATTTATACTTTTCAAATTATTCCTTACTAATTTAAGTTTTTTTTCATATTTGTTTCTGATTTTTATCATTCTCTTAAATTTAAAGATATCATATACATGAATCATATTGCAACTTTCCAAATTCTTTATTGAATTTTTTTTTTTTGGTATAATGTCTTGTAACTTTTTAAATTATCTTCTTCTTTCTTCACACTAAAGCAAATTATCCACCTTCTTCTTTGGATTATCAATTTTCTTCCAACAAATAATCATTTATAATTTTTTCTGTTATAGGCTATTAGTTCTCGAATCTTTAAAACAGTTATCAAATCTAATTTGTGCAAATTACCTACAAATAGGTAATAAATTTACAATTTCATCGAATAATCTATCTATATATTATTAAAAGATGAAGAAAAATATTCACATTAAGCCAAGTGGCAGTTTCACAATAGGCCGCTAGGCAATTTACGACAAAGTTGGTTATGTTAGGTAATAATTAGTTTCTAATTTAAATTCAAAAAAAAATTAAATTATACATTATGTGTTGCTAATAATTAGTTACTCTTTAAAATTATTTTTATTTTACACTCAATGCCACATTTCAAGTTTGTCACTCAGAATCATCTACTTACAACTTACAACTACCATGACTATATATAATTTTATCCGACAATATTCTTCTACCAATAAGGAATTCAACTATTATGCTAATGAAGACATTACTACAAAGACTGAGAAAGGAGATGGGTCTTCTGTGTAGCACCCCGGAAAATTTCGAAGTACTTAAGTGCTATTAAGAAAGTTGATGTGTGCTAATTACATTATTTGCTTGCGGATGAGGACTATTAATATGATGGATATTAATTGAATATAATAATAAGTGTACGAGGTATATTATAAGTGATGTGGGGTCTAAGGATAGCCCTAAGTCCAAGTCAAATTAGAAATTACATAGTAGACTAAAGTTCCAAATAAGTACGCACAAGACCTAATTTTGGACGAGCATATCTACATATATATAAAGAGTTATGTGATTGACAGCCTATCAAATGAAAGGTCTTTGAGTCTAGTCTAACGCTTCAAACCGTTTGTCATTTAGATATTCCTACAAGAAGTTATGACCAAATTACCAAAGGCTGGCATAGGAGCCTGCGGATGCGACGCGTCCGAAAGAAAGGCTGGCAATGAAGTGCTGCCATAGCATCCAGATCGCTTCCGAAGCCCAGAAATCTGGGCCTATAAATACCAAGTCGGGGGAGAGAGTATTTTAAGTGTTGGGGGTTAGGGTTCTTGAGGTGAAGGGACGATTTTGAGCTCAAATCAAGTCCAAATCAACCGAGGTAAGTTTTTAATGATGTTTTGAGTTGATATTACTCAATATACATGAGTTCTAATATCCAAATTCTAAATTTCATTATCAAATCTTCAAGAACATAAAAATCACCAAAGTTGTAATTTTTCAAGATTGATCTACTAGAGGTAATTCCAATGCTTCAAACTCGTTTATTATGGGTAGTTAGAAGTATTTGAAGTATTTGTTACAAGTTTTATTGGTTGAAAGATTGGATTGTAAAAATCTAGTTCATGACATGAATAGTACTTTTAAGAAAATAAGAGAGAAGATGAATGGTGAATCTTGGGGATGAAATTGATTGAATACAATGAACCTATGGAATTATTGTTAGCAAAATATGGAAGTGATCAACTAAACAATCATCCGAATTATATATGGTGCAAGTTTTGATTATGGAAGATAATGAATAGTAACTTGGTGGCACTGGACAATAAATGTAGTAACATTAATGACTTCGAATGCGTATTAGAATATAAGGATGAAGTTGAATGGTATAGCTTACAAATTTTTTTGGCGATTTGAGTTGTTGGAGGCTTGTAGCCACTTTATGAGACATATATGGATATTGCTTAATATCTTAGGTCATATTTTGATGTAATTAGGATATCGACTTGTTGGTGATGTTGAGCTTTTTAATCAACATTGGAATGATGGAAGAGGATTGAAAGCTTGTGAATATTAATAAAGAGAAAGCGGAGTAAGTTGATTAAAACTTACTCTTCTTGAGAGACTTTCTCTAAAAGCATGTTTCAAGTTAATACTTAAGTTGTTTACAAATGTACTTTCGTGCTTGTGGAGACAAACAAGTACGGATGTCTCTATATACTAATACTATGTTGCATATGTAGTGTCATGTCGTTTTGTAAGATTTTATTTTAAATCTTGTTGGCAAGATGACACTCAAGGTAAATGTTATAAGTTTTTATCAAAACTTACGTATTGACAAGAATATACATATTTGAGTGCCAGAGATAAGATTTCATGGAAAGTGTTTCTTTTGGAGTTTGATGTTAAATTGCTAAAGGCTTTAGCATGAAAAAGGTTGTTTATTAAAGTTTTGTTCAAATGATTTGGAGTTTCTATAAATGCTTGATTTGATTAAAAAATAGATCATTTGAAGCTACTATGCTATGAATTTATTTTTGAAGTATCAAATATTTTGGGAGTTACTTGTGTTCATCGAGATTGATTTCGGATATATTGTGT